TATCACTACGGAAGTAGGATTGCCCAACCTTCCTTCCGAGGAGTGGCTGGTGGGTTTGAACCGCCAGCCTTCTGGTGAGAAGTCAAGTGCCTTAGGCACTATGCTACCAGATTCATTAGATGACTTCATATCTACTAGTTTAGAATATTTAGATACCTTCAATATTCTTTTTCTTCTAGCAACCAGTCCAAAGCACAGTGTCAGAAGGACTACAATACATGCTGCGATAATGGGTTCTATTGGTATGGTCCACTCTTTATCTGTTGGAAATGCAAACACAGACAATGAGAATTAATGTTTATATGCTTTTAATTTATGTGCTGGTGGTGTAGTGCCTAAGGCATTTGACTGCTAACCAGAAGGTTGTCTGTTCAAACCCACAAGCCACTCCACAGAAAGAAGATGGGGCAATCTATTTCTGTAAAGATTTACTGCCTCAGAAACCCAAAGGGGGTCACTGTGAGTCAGAATTGACTGGCTGGCAGTGAGTTTGTTTTTTTGTTTTTAATATGTCCCAGCAGTAGTGCCTTTCACTTTAAATATATCTTCTTCTTAATTAAAACCTCTCAGCAACCCCAAATGATAGACATTATTATTCCTATATTATAGGTGAGGCTTTGAGAGGTTACTCATCCAAAGTTATAAAACTAGTAAAGAGCAGAGGTAGATTTTAATCCATTCATTTGTGGCAGGATAGTTTTTGAAATAAGAATAACTATTCCAAGTAGGTATTCAGACCATTTTGTGCTTTCTTTGTCTATATTTTTTTGCCATACAGAAAGCAGAAGGGCTGAAGTATTTTGAAAAGCCCAGAAGATAAAGAAAGGGTGGTATCACAGTTTGTTGTTGTTGATATGTGCTGTCAGTTGACTCCACTCCTCGACTCATAGCTGAGCCCTCCTTGGGTTTCCAAGGCGGTATCACTACGGAAGCAGATTGCCTAACCTTCCTTCCGAGGAGTGGTGGGTGGGTTTGAACCACCAGCCTTCTTTAGCAATCAAGTGCCTCAGGCACCGTTCTGCCAGAGCTCCTAGTGTTCCAGTAGAGGGACAAAAAGAAGGAGGGCTTTGGGGACAGGAAGAGAATGGGTGGTGAACCCTCTGAACTAAGAAGGAAGAGAGGCTTGTGGGTCCCAGGAGCAGTGGGGTCACCTTGTACTTGCACCCAAGCAGGTGATATGACATTATAGGAGGTGGCTGCATGGTGCTCCCAGGGAAGTAGGACTCTAAGCACCAACCATCCCAACAACACTAGCAAAGATTTCCATACTTCCCTGAACAACGTGGGAGAACAGAGGGTTTACTGGTAACTAGGCCTAGAAAGAAACCAGCAACAGCCATGCTGGTCTGGAAATAAAAGTCTATTCCCTTGCTTTTTGAACACCAGGTAAACTCAGAATTGTCTTATTCATCAGGCACTATGAGTACAATGCCCATACTTGTAAGTTTTTCAAGGGCCTGTCAACTATATCTCAAGTGTTAAATAATGATGGTACAGCTCAAGAACTAAATGAACAACTTATTTATAACACAATTCAAGATGTATACAATTTTGTATAAATTCTTTCAAAATTTTTACAGTAAAAAGTGTACTTAATATATTATAAATTTATTTGGGTTATGATTATAAAGCAAACAATCTGATTTCTAATTTATGTTGTTGCTTGATTTAAATATTCTCCCATAATAGTTTTAATAAATATATGTTTTAAACAAAAAGAATATATTTAATATGCTTCATTTTAATGTTTGCTATGACATAGGGTGACCCTACAAAAGTAAGATTGCTTAAGGTCAATAAAGTATAACAATGACTCTGCTTGCATTCTTGAATTGTGGTGCCACCCAGGGAAGACAAGGGGCTCTAATCATGACTTGGATGAATTTTCCATCTATATGGGTGCCAGGGTCATGGAATCAAAACTAATTTAAAGAAAATAAATAATGTGCTATTTATTATACAGTTGAGCTTGTGGATTGAGGTGAAGTCAACAAATATTTATTGAGAGACTATTATGTGTCAGACACCATGCTTAGCCCTGCAAAAAATAGGACAGGCATGATCCCTGCCTTCATGGAGTTCATACTCTAGTGGGGGAGACAGATAGTAAGCAAACAAAAACTATAGATTGAGATAAGTATTATAAAGGAAACAGGGTCGTGAAATAGATCCCATAATCCATTGCTGTCAAGTCGATTCCCACTCATAGCAAGCAGTCCTATAGGACAGAGAAGAGCTGGCCCAGAGGGTTTCCAAGGCTGTAAATCTTTACAGAAGCAGATTGCTTTATCTTTCTCCTGAGGAGCAGTTGGACCCGACTTAATGGCAGTGAGTTTGATATTTTTGGTTTGAGGAGCAGTTAATGGAAGATGGGGCAATCTACTTCCATACTGATACTGCCTCGGAAACCCAAGGAGGGGTCGCTATGAGTCAGGTCTGACTCGACGGCACATAACAACAACAACAAGTGGGTGATACACTAACGAATTCTTTTTTTCTATCTTCTTCCCCATTTCTTGTCCAGCTCCTCCCGAGAATAATTTTGAGGAGTAGATGGATTAAATATCCTTTGCTCTTGCCCTCTCTTGGCTGTTCTTAAAAATTATTCTCACGTAGGCATGGGTTGCACCAACCCTCTGAAGAATCTCTACTCAATGTACCGTCTTCTAGCAAGCCTTTGAAAAGGAGCACTCTGAAATTTAAGGCACTTGACAGGACTGAGGCTTCTGGCTGAAATGTAGGCCTGGCCCCATTTTATTGGCTTGACTGTGTCTTAGAAGTTACCTCCACTTTGCCAATTCTCAGAAGATGTGGCTGCAGTTGTTAACACGGTACCACAAAGGTCAAGACATGCCCGCAGGTGTTAAGGTGTACTATAAAGATTATTTTTTTAATATTCCAGAAACCTTGTAGGTAGCCAAAGTCTACCTCTTCCAATTTTCCTCCATGTTTTGTTTCCAGTTACTAATAAGAGTTTTTTGTTAACAACTGTCATGGATTGAATTGTGTCCCCCCAAAATACGTGTCAACTTGGTTAGGCCATAATTCCAATATGATGTGATTGTCCTCCACGTTCTGGTGTGTTTTAAATCCTGACATCTATGATGTGATTGAGGCAGGATTAGAGGCAAATTATATTAATGAGGCAGAATCTAATCTACAAGATTAGGTTTATTTTGAGTCAATCTCTTTCGAGATAGAAAAATAAGATTAAATAAGTGAGCAGAGGTCAGAGGGACCTATGACCACCAAGAAAGAAGAGCCAGTATTACATTGTGTCCTTTGGACTAGGATCCTTGTGCTGAGAAGCTTTTAGGCCCAGGGGAAGATTGATGCCAAGACATTTGTGGACATTGAAGGAATGCTGGGCCCACAGATGCCGAAAGGAGGCAAGGATCTTCCTCCAGAGCCGAGAGAGAGAGAAAGACTTCCCCTCGAGGCAGCACTCTGAATTTGGATTTCTAGCCTAGGAGCTCTAGTGGTGCAGTGCCTAGGACATTTGACTGCTAGTCAAAAGGTTGATGGTTCAAACCTACCAGCTGCTTCTTGGATGGAAGATGAGGCAATCTACTTCTGGAAACCCAGTGGAGGTCACTATGAGTCGGAATCAATTCAATGGCAGTGAATATTTGTTTGTTTGTTTGGTAAACTTTGAGAGAACAAATTTCTGTTAAAGCTATCACTTGTGGTATTTCTGTTATAGCAGTGCTAGATAACTCTGGGGGAGCTCTGGTGCTGCAGTGCCTAAGGTATTTGACTGCTAACCAGAAGACTGGCGGTTCAAACCCACCAGCCACTCCTCAGAAGGAAGGTTGGGCAATCTACTTCTGTAGAGATATTGCCTTGGAAACCCAAGGAGGGATCGCTATGAGTCGAATACAACTTGACAGCAGTGAGTTTGGTTTGGTTTTGGTTTAGATAACTAAGATCTCAACTAATCATGACATATTTCAATCTGTCCTTCATGTTTGTGGTCTTTTCCTTTATAAACCACTGTAAATGAATAGCTTGCAGGAGCACCCACTGAATCGCTTTCACTTTGTGTTTCCTCAGTTTAAACCGTGCTCCTATTCCCACAGCAAACTTTCGTTTGAGTTTATCAACCAGGTATATTTCTTTGGTGGATTCTTTAAGACCTTCTTCTAATAAGCTCTGAGTTGCCAGCCTTGAGACACCCCGAAGTGGCTTCATTTCATGAAGACACCCTTTGCTTGCATGTCAAAAAGAGATGCCAAGACAAAGGAGAAGCAAAGGTGGAATAATAAGGAAAGTAAATCAGAGTTCAAAGTCTGGACTATTTTCACCAAAGCCGAATGAAATGGAGCCCCTGTGATGGTCGCTCTGAAATCAAGCTGTAATAAACTGCCTGATCCATTGGCTCCCTTTGTATTCCATGTTTCTGCTGAAAGCGAATTTTGCAAGTTTCACTTGCCACAGTCAAGTGTAATGCACTCTCCCTTTGTCCTGTTCTACACTCTTATTTGTGACCAGTCCTGGTATCATGCTCCTCGCCTCCTCCCATGCATTATGATAAAATAATTCCAGCATGTGGGTTAAATCTTGTGCTCAAGAAAAGATCTGTGATGTCATGATCTGTGATGTCCTATCCAGATCTGCAAGGCCTCATTTAGAGAGTACTCCCCTGCACGAGAAGCTAATCAAAGCTCAGGACAAACTGGGCATTTAGCCTGTGCTCCAGCAGTAGATTGCATCTGCTGCAAAGACCGCCAACAGCCAGGGAAGTAACAAAGCAGGAAGAAATCAGAAAAACAAGTTGGTTTGGAAGAGCTCCACCCAAAACAGGATCCTGCCCACCTGCAAGCCAGTTTGCCAAGCTGGCATCCTGCTTACCACACAAGATGTATGTTACTCAAGGGACATAGAGCGATTATGACTCCTCTCAACCAAGAGGGATGATATCATTCCCTTGTCTCTCCAAATGTGGTCTTTACTGCCAGATAGAGTGTCATGGCTTGAGGCCACCAGTCATGCTTTTGTGATCCTGGGGCGGGTGAATGGCCAGAATCATTAACATGGTACCCCCTTGCAGTGGGTAATTAGGTCCTGTTTGTGGTTTGGGTTTTAAAAGCAAGTAGCCTCTGGGCACAGTCATTGCTCTGCAGGACAAATTACTGAATGAGCCAGGAATCACTGTGACGGGCAGTCAACTGACAACTCCAACTCCCCACCACCCAAAACAGGATCTTGCCCACCTGAAAGCCGGTTTGCCACACAAGATGCATGTTTTTCATGTGACATAGAACAATTATGACTCCTCTTAACCAAGAGGGATAATATAATTTTCTTGTCTCTGTGGGGGAGAAAATAAGAAGCCCTATGGGTTGCTAGGAGTCAGATGCAGCCCAATGGCAGTGGCTTTGGTTTTTATGGTCACATCACTGGAACACTTCTGGCAGAGGTTCATTTGGCTTCCTGGAAACTGGCAAGAACAGCAGTGAGTGGGCACAAGGAGGCAAATGACAAAGGGAATGATGTTCTAACAAGATCTAGGAGCCTCAGCTTGTTTGGCTGCTCCCAGCATGCTGGCCCAAGAGCCGGAAATGTGAGGAGGAGCATTTTCTGTATGTGCTGTTTTGGGTATCTTGCCTTCCTCTTTGTATGAGAAGAAATATAAGGAGGTAAAGATACTTTGGTCATGTTGTCAGAAGGGACCAGTCCCTGGAGAAGGCTATCATGCTTGGCAAAGTGGAGGATCAGAGAAAAAGGGGAAGACCCTCAATGAGATGGATGGACACAGTGGCTGCGATGATGGGCTCAAGCCTGGCAAAGGTTGTGAGGATGGTGTAGGACCGGGCAGTGTTTCATTCTGTCGTCCATAAACTCACTGTGAGTTGGAATCTGCATCTAACAATAACAACAACAAAGATGCTTAGAGCCATTTGTTCCCTATTATTGCAGAGGTTTTAAATCTAGGTACATGAAGCATGAAGCCAAGAGAAAGAGGTTTTTGTTTTTCCATTTTTCCTCACTCTCTGTTCTGATTAGTCTACAGGTTAGAATTTCAGAGCTAGAAGTAATTTTAGAGATCCATTTTTTAAAAAAAATCTAGCCAACATCTTTCTGTATTTCTGATTTCTATTTGCCATGAGGCTGTGAACTCAAAAGTTCGGTTGCTACAAACCTTGTTACTCAGGAGAACTTGGAAACATTCCTCCCTAGAAGATAACCAAGGAGTCCCTTGGTGTTGAAAGTCCCTTGGTGTTGCAAAGGGTTAATGCACTTCCTGCTAACCAAATGGTTGGAGTCCACCCACAGGTGCCTCAGAAGAAAAGCTTGGTGATATACTTCTGAAAAAACAGCCCCTGGACATCCTTTGGAGGACAGTTCTATTCTGACATACATAGGATTGCCACAAGTAGGAATCAACTCTATGAGAACTGAAGAAAAACCTCAACTGACGTCCAGTTGGTCCCAACTCATAGTGACCCCTCCTTGGGTTTCCGAGGCAGTATCTCTACAGAAATAAATTTCCTGGTCTTCCTTCTAAGGAGTGGCTGGTGGGTTTGAACCACCAGCCTTTTGGTTAGCAGTCAAATGCCTTAGGTACTACACCACGAGAGCTCCTCTATGGCAGTTGGTAACTATTAGAAACAACCAGATTTTTTTCTACCACTTGGTTCTAGAAAAGGAGCTTTGCTCAAAAACGGTGTCCTATCTGTAACTCCCTGAATTCTTAGTGGAAACCCTCAGGATGGGAATAATTCTCTAAAGAAAATATTAGCTTTAATTTTACTTGTCATCATCACTTGTTATCTTCAAAAATATTTACAGAGCATCTTTTCTGAGGTTTGCACTGTGCTGGTGACTACTTAGAGAGTTTTGGGAACAGTAGTTACCTTTAACAATCAAGTAAAAGTCCTTAGTCTCCATTTCCTGAAGTAAACTTGCAGTGCAGCTGTAGGTTCCGTTATCAGATTTCTTGACTTTGGTGATGGACAGCTGAAAAGACTCACTTGTCTGGTGGACTTGGTGACGGTTTTTCTCTAAATTCAAAATGCTACTGTTTTTATACCATAGCATTTGAGCCTGAGGGTTCGATTTCACATTGCAAACCAACTGCACATCACTCCCTTCTTCAGCTGTTTGGAAGTCTTCTCCACTTAGGCGAGGAGGAACTGCAAGATTCAAGCATCTAGGTATAATTAGCAGATAAGCAATAGTTCATAGTCAGTGTTCAAGGTCTTCCTTCTGTCTGTCTCATGCAGTCATTCATTCGTTTGATAGGTATTTATTGAGTACCTGCTACATGCCATGCTTTGGGCTAGCACATGGGGATACAATAGGGAAATAAGATAGATCCAGTTCAAAACCTTATAGAACTTTTGATGTGGTAGAGAAGGCAGACTTTGAAAAAGACATAATATTGATTCTGTACTAAGGGGTCGATTTTTAAGAAATCCAAGAGCATAGCCTTGGATCTTTGCTCTCTCAGACTGAGTTAACATATCAGCCTGTGCTAGTGTTGGATAAAACAGTATTATAGTACGAATACAGGCATTGCAGTTTGCTCCAGTTCCATCTACAACACTCACTGTGTTCTTCAGAAAGTTACTTATCTGCTCAGGCTCAGTTTCCTCATCTGTAACTCAAAAAAAAAAAAAAAAAAAAAATCCCAAACTCACTGCCGTCAAATCATTTCTGACTCATAGTGACCCCCATTGGTATTCTGAGGCGGTAAATCTTTATGGAAGTAGTCTTCGTTCCAAGGAGTGGCTGGTGGGTTTGAACCACCAGCTTTCTGGTTAGCAGTCAAATGCCTCAGGCACTACACCACCAGAGCTCCTTCCTCATCTGTAAGGTAGGATAATAATACCTACCCCACAAGTTGCTGTGAAAATTAAATGAGAGAATCTCTGTAAAAAATTTACCACAGTGTTAGCTGCTGTTATTATTGTGGTGGCAGTGGTGGTTGGTTTTAGGGCTACCCAGGTCCTCTCTTTCTGCATTTTATCTGACTACATTTGCTCTAACTACATACTTACTAACACATATTTGCATTCCTCAATTCTCTAGAAATAAAGTTCTCCACCCAAGAAATGTTTGAATCGTGGCAGCTCTGGCATCTGTAATAGGTAAGCATGACATTCTGAGCCCTTCATATCCCTCCAAGTAAGTAACTCCTTACTCCTTCCATGATAAGGGCAGTTGCAGACCCATTGATAGGAGTCCCTGGGTGATGCAGATAGTTAATGTGCTCCACTGCTAACCAAACGGTTGGTGGTTCAAGTCCACCCAGAAGCACCTTGAAAGAAAATTTGAAAATATTACAGACCAAAGTTCTACTCTGACACATACAAGGTCACCATGAGTCAGAATTGACTCTATACCAAACACCTTTGACTTATCTTTACCAAATTATTCCAATCCTCATTCCCACCAAGGCGTTCTAACATCGAGAGAAATAAACAGCTGATCTGACTCTCCCCTCTTCTCCATACCACTTACATTTTCTGGCATAGGTGCAGAAGAGTAATAAAATGGTTGAAGAGTAGGCAGTAGGAAAGAGAAAGAGGCGGACAAGGAAGAAAAAAGTTGCTTGTATAATCTGCACACTGAATAATTAGACTGAGTAGGCTGCGCTATTAATAACTCTCTCAGAAGACTGACATTTTGTTGCTCTTTGGAATGAGCTTGAATTCCATATCCATATCCAACAAGGATGTTATATGGTATTCAGATATGTAGGAAGCTGCTAGAATACAGAACATAATTCCCAAATATACTAGTTATACTTGTGGGCAGGCCCTATTAATTTTTCCTCTTTATTTAACTATTTTAAATTAATTTTAAGCATATAAATATATATTTCTATTCTCTTCTTTTAAAATTTAGTGTATTTCAGATAATGCTAAAGTCCTCTTCTCCCAAGCCTAGTTACTTCTCCTACTTTCTTCAGACATATCCACTGCTATGAGGTTGGTGTAAGTCCTTCCAGATTTTATACACACACACACACACACACACACGAAGTATATTGTATAGCTTTAATGGGGGAGAGTGATAAGAATGTACATAAAATACTTCATCCTCTAATAACTTGCTTTTTGTGTGTGATCTACCCACATTGAACTACAGAGATCTAGTTCATTCCGTTTAGCGTGCTATATAATACGATGACTCTTTAATCATTTCCTTTTGATGGGCATTAGGTTGTTTCATCTTTGAAATGTTAAACAATGCTATAATAAACATCCTGTATGTATCTCTTTATGCATATGTGCATGTGATTCTCCAAAGGTTAATATTTAGAAGTACAAATGCTGCATCATAGGGTAGACACACATTAAATCTTGGTAAGTATTATAAGAGAGGTGGTTCCAATTTAGACTTCTAGCAGCGATGTATAAAAGAAACAGTTTCTTTTCACACTCTCTCCCAAACAATGTATTATCAACTTCCATTTAGTTCTTGATCTGCTATTTAGTAATACTCCATTTGGATTGAACATTAGACTCTTGTCACTTTAATGAGCTAATTTGATTTATTGATGGTGGATATCACTTATTATCACTGTGAATCACTGACTAATTGATTATTTATACATATGTGCTTAGTAGCAATGATATTTAGGAGTTTGTTATAAAGATAATTTTAAAAGTAGACCCAGGGTGGAAAACTGAAACTATTTTTTAAGCCACCACATTATAGGACGGGTGTGTCTGCCAAATCTCCTTCGATGTGAAGAATACTGGAATAAGAGCCTGGGGATTAGTGTTCTGTCCTTGTCTTCAGCTGTGATTTGGGCTCCCAGACTATGCCTCAGTTTTCTTATGGAGAATTATATGAGCCCTCCAAGTTCCCCCTGATAGTCTTGAAAGTGTAGCCAAGAAGGTAGATTGCTAAAAATTATATTTTATTAATTCATGGAAAATAAGAAGCCAAGCTCCCAGGAACATGAAAATAATTTACTCTGGAAGTCATAGCTGCAGCATGGTAGCAGTTCCCAGAGATGGATTCCTTGGCATTTTCTCCAACCTTTTACCTCAGGAGCAATGGCATACATTTTTCACCTACTTTTCTGAGCTCATTGAAGTCAGATGATTTTGATTCTTTATTACTAGATTTCAAGTTCAGACGTCTTTCTACCAAATCACACTGCATCATCATCATCCTACCCACTCCTCACACTACTCTACACTATGTCTCACTCATACGAAACCCATCTTCTATCCAAACACCTATCTAACTACCTATGTAGTATCATTTGAAGGATCCCTGTGGTGAAGTGAAGGAACCCTGGTGGCACAGTGTTCATTGAAAGGGTCAGCTGCTAACCAAAGAGTCAGTGGTTCAAACCCAACAGCCACTCAGTATAAAAAGATGTGGGAGTCTGTTGAAACCCTATGGGCAGTTTTACTCTATCCTATAGGGTCAGCCCCAGGGTTACAGGTGAGGAGAGACAACTCAGGGACGCCCAAAGTAGCAGGCGGGAAGAGCAGGAGAAAGGGGATTAAAAGCCAGGAAGCCAGAGAGAAGAGCAATCAGCCGAAGGGATT